CCTTGTCAAATGCTTTCTGAAAATCCAGATACACCAAATCTACACCCTTACCCTCACCTACATAAACAATAACCTTTTCAAAGAATGTCAAAAGATTTGTAAGGCAAGATTTTCCCTTAGTGAAATGACTATCCAATAACATTCTAAAGTAACATAAAAGTGTAGGTATTTTATCTTTATACTGAAATAAGTGTTTAAGGTGGAGGCAATCTATATATTAGCCTGACCACATTACTTCTGAGCTTGCTAAAAAAAATATGAAGTTTACAAAATGATGAAGTTCCTGTACTGCATAATTTTTCTCCAAGAGTTTAAGGAGTTTAGGAATCATATATGTGAGCCACATTCTAATATTTTTGTTAGTCCTTGAATAGTAGACAGGTGCTATAAGACTGGTTAATATTATATGTCTTTTCAAGGTAGTTGATAAAATATGTCTAAGTGATTATTGGTATAGACCTCACATCAGTTTTTGAAAATATCATAAACATTGCCATGTAATGTCATTTAACAAAGTTTCAAATCACGTTGGATAATAAATATTCTATCCTTACTAATGTTATGACATTCTTTGAAGAGGTCACTGCTTATGTAAATGAGGGTAAGGGTGTGGATTTAGTGTAACGGTTTTCAGAAAGCATTTGCCAAAATGCCACATAAAAGGCTTAGTAAAACAAAATTCTAGGTGTGAAATATAAGCTGACTAGTTGGATATAAAAATGGATCTGATAGAAAAAACTAGGGGGGTTGTTATAAATGGAGTTCAATCAAACTGGATTAATGTCACAAGTAGGGTGCCTCAAGGCTCAGCATTAGGACTTTTGCTCTTTTTGATTTTACATCAATAGCATAGGTGAAGGAATGGTCAATGATTGCTTAAATCTACCGATGATAATAAGGTCTTGGGTGTTGCTGGCTATGAAGATGCTGCTGCTTTACAAAATAATATAGATTTGGTAAATTGGTCAAATACATAAATGTAAGGGAATACATGTAGGTTATCATTATTTGTTATGGAAGTAAAAAATCCTGGTATTGTGTTTGATTAGTTTCTTAAGCGATCAATGCAGTGTGCTGTTGCTAGTGGTCAGGCAAACAGGATTTTAGGTTGTGTCTAAAAACATTATGATTTCATAATATATATTACTGGTTGTCTCATTTATGTTCAATCTTGGGCTTCTCTTCTTAGGAAAAACGCTGAATTTTTGAAAAAGATTCAGAAAAGAGCTACTAAGATGATACCTGGGACAGAATGGTTGTCATAGAAGGACATGTTAAGACCACTGAAATTATTTTCTCTTGAAAAAATAAGAGTTAAAAACCATCTGCCTGGGGTGTTTATGGTCATTATTGGAATTGATAGTGTCAATACATTTTTTATTCCTACTTAGTGGTGAAAATGGAAGGACTAGAGGGTACAAATATACATTTTTGGCATTGTAGGAGTCATTTTCAGTTAAGACAATTATACTGTTTTAACAGGATGGTTATTCTCTGGAAAGGATAGCCTTGAGGTGTAACAGGTGCAATAAATTTAAAGGAATTTAAAAGAAGGCTTAATAAATATTAAAATGATAATGGTTGGCTTTGAGTTTTTCATTTAACATTTAGTGGATGGAACAGCTTAAAATATGCATCAACAGGTCCCTTGCTGTCCTTAAAGTTTATGTTATGTAAGATAACACAAAACTTATTGTAAAAGTTTTTACTGAATTCTTTGCCTTATCAAAGCAATTTTTATTTCAAATTATTATGAAGAGTTATCCTCAAAATGTAATTGAAAATACAAGTCTAGCTCTGTTCACTGCTGTACATCAGATACATCTGGCCTAGCTACAGTGGTGCTTCAACAAGAAAAAAGTGATGTACAATTTAAGCACATATTTTAAATTACTTTTAGCAACAACTAAGAAAGTTACTTCATAACATGAACTGTAAAACTAGAATAAATTAGACTTACATTGTTACAAGTACATTCTGTTATGTTACTTTAGGGGTTTTCATATTTTAGTGTTCATGCCTAATGTCATTATTAACATTAGACAATTGATATAATTTGAAATAAAAGTAGTAAAACAAACTAGGCTTATCAAGACTATATTACCATTATTGACTAATTAAGATTCCTTTATATATTTATAAATCGTATGCGATCGATGTTATAATACTTATGTTAAAGCTGCTTAAGTTAAAAACTTCAGGTATTCTCAAACTTAAACTTCGAATTTCAATCAAACACTAACTTTATGTTTAAATTTTAGTTTCACTAACTTACATTACAACACAGTGCAGTATTACTATGTCACTAATACTAATAGTAATACTTGACGCGAAAGGTCGATTTACAGGTACGATTTTTAATTGTTTTCCTTTAATCAACTACATAATTACACTTGTACTGTAAAGCTACTAATTTGTGATTGTGGAATCCAATGGTGTATGATTGTTTTGTTATTTTCATTATTTCAAAAAACCCTACTAATAGTAGCATCACTAGTACTGTGTAATGTATACTTACTTAGTAATATTATTATTAGTAATACTTGTGTACGAACTACGTAGTTCGCACGCAGATATTACATAGTATTACTATTAGAAATGACATTCAAGCATAATATCAATTTACTCTCATTAATTAACTTACCAACATCTGAATCAAACGGAGTTGTACTGCTTAAAAAGGGCATTATGATTATGAATTACTTGCACAAAACAAACTTTTCTTTTATTAAAAATAATTTTATTAAGCTCTCTTATCATTCACCACAGAATTTTACAAGCGGAAATCAAGATTGTACCCTATGGTTAGGTAATATCCGGTTTGTACATGCGCCCTCTTAGCTGCTCAGTTTGTACAATAATCTCGCTCTGCTCAAATCTTGTCACGTGTCTGTACCATAGTCAACGGTTAATTAATAGAATCTTTACTATAATGTGGCCATAGGCTCTAGTTATGACGTGTAAGTAGTCATAGCGAAGGAAATAAGGTAGTTTTATAAACTGAATATTTTGTTGATGTGATTTAGGTAGCGTACTTTAAATAGTTTATATGGATGTCGTGTAATGATTACGAGAATTATTAATTATTTCTGCTTGTGTCGAAATTTTTAGCATACATATGTTTTACAAGTTCAAGTACTCTGTTTATTGTAACTGTAAAAGTGTAATAAGTCATCGCCTTTCATCTTCAGTTTTGAAAATTGAAGTGAACTAACAGACTTAAGTCTGCATCGACATTCATTTTTTACCGAAAATTATACATTGCATCCTGAAGAAAATAACGAATACAAAATCTAACAACATAGTATGCACAGCACTCTTGTTTCTGTGCACTAGGTGATTAAGTTATTTCTCACAAGTGAAATGGCATCACAGAAGGTTGTAGAATGGCTCAATGAAGAATTTGGCAAAGATGTGTCATCCTTAGCTAAGGCCAGAAATCTTCATAAAGAGTTATTAGCTAATAAAAGAGAGCTTGAAAACAAACTTTATGTAAAACCAGGTGATATCAGCAATATTGGAAATTCTTTATTTCTTAAAAAACTTGAAGAAGGATATAAAGCAGTGGAAAGGAGCAAAAAATTAATTACATCTTTTCAAAATATCAAACATGAAGCTGCCAGACATCTACAGAAAGTTGCTGATCTTCAAGAGTCTTTCAAAGTTTACATTTTAGAATTTCAAGAGCTGACAGCTGCTGAAAATTATTTAATGTGGATTTCCCAAATAGAGGGGAAAAATGAACAAGTACAAGAAGCAGTTCAGCAGGGGGAAGACAAACAAGCGGTACCTTATCTTTCCTGGTTGATAAATATTTGGTGCCAACTTCAAACTTCATCTTGCCAAACATTACTGGATTTTGTGCAAAAAACCATTATTCACTGGTATAATCTCCTCAGAGAAAGATTTGGAAAAGAATTTGAAAAGACTTTGCAAGTTCTTCAGTGGCCAATTTCTTCAACCTCCACTTTCACAACTCCATCTGTGGAAACACTTCAACGATTTGAATCATTGTTTTTATCTTTAATTCAAATACAATTACCAGAAGAGATTCTCAAGCAAACTAATGAAAAGAGGGGCAATAAAACATCTGTATCACTAATATTACCTCTAGAGTTGATGATACAACCTTTGCGAAAGAGGTTTGCATTTCATTTCATGAGCAATCGACAAACCAATCGTTTAGATAAACCAGAGTGGTATCTTACTCAGGTGTTGTCATGGATACATGACCATGGAAATTTTATGGATCACTTTGTTCAAGCCATTCTGAATAAGTCTGGTTTTCAGTCTATACAAGCTAAAATGGAAGTTATGCGTGCTCTGGTGGAGTTAGCTGCTAAGAAACTTGAAGAAGATGTCTCAGAATTACTTTATGATGATCTTTTGTTAACACACACAATTGATGAGGTGTTGTTGTTTGAAAAAGAAATCCTAAGTAGGGGTTATCCACAAAGTTATCCAAGTATACTCTCAGTCTTGTTGAGTGAGAAATGTTTTAATCGATGGATTAACTTAGAACGACATTATGCTATGACTAAGGTAGATGAATTATTGAATTCTCATACCGCTTGGCAAGTTTGTGTTCAAGACATTGAACTAGATGAACTAAAGAAACCAGAGTGTGCTGAAGCTTTTCTGACATTGCTTTCAACAATGACAGAACGTTATAAAAACTTGAGAGATTTACATAACCAACTTCAGTTTCTTGATCTTCAACTTGAGTTACTTGATGACTTTAGAATGCGCTTATTACAGCTACGTTCTCAAGCTCAGGATCCATTGGATTCTAGTTTTTGTCCAATCTTAAATACTGTTCATTATTTAATTGTAGTTCTCAAAGAATGGAGTAATCTTCCTTTCTTCATACAACTGTTATATCACAAGATCCATTCTCACCAAGAACATCACCAGGATAAATGGAGTAACACTCTGAAAGATTCACCTTTTTCAGAATCCACAGGAAACAAAATACATTGGAATTCAGAGGACATACAATATGAGAGATTTCTCCATTACTCTGTCTTTGATTATATTGTGCTGCTGTTACAACAAATGCAAGAAGATCTTGTAACAAAGGTTATAGAATGGGTGTTATTGGATGTCAAAGCAAAAAGTAGGCCTTATAGGAAAGACAAGTGGTTCTCAATGCCATTGCTTCCTCATGGGGCAGAGTATTGTGTGTCTCCAACAGCTTATTCTATGTTAAGTGTATTGAAGTCTCATATTCAAGTGCTACAAGAAAGCTTAGCACAACCACTATTTAAAACTGTATGGCAGAGAGTTTGTAAGGGACTTAATATTTACCTCTATGAAGAAGTGATTCTTCAAAATTATTTTAGTGAAGGGGGTGCTGAGCAGCTTAAGTGGGACATGACTAGAAACCTCTTTCCAATATTTGGACGATTTACTCAAAAACCAGAAAACTACTTCAAGGAAGTGAAAGAAGCCTGCAAGCTTCTCACCTTACCTCGTGCTTCAGCTCTCTTGTTATTGGACACGCTTAACCCAATACAAGGTGAACTGGTTGACATAACAGCTGCCTTGGAAGAACAAGGAATCTTCTCGTTATCACTTCACCAAGCCTTAAAAATTCTTTTTCTTAGATCAGACCTTGCTAATGCCTAAAACGTTGTGTAAAATGTTGTGTAGTTTAAGAAGCATAGAAGTGTTTCATTCTGTTAACTTCAAATCAGCTGTTTGTTTTGAAGCACAAGAAAATACGGCTTTGAATTTTCTACACATAGCTTATCTTGAAAGAAAGCTGACTATAGAATGAGTTTTTGAATTACATACTCATTCTTTTGTTTTAAGTAATTTTTGACATTTATTTTATGCAAGCTTTGAATTTAAGTTTTAATGTAAAACAAATTTCAGAGAAGTCTCT